TAGTCACCATGCGGTATGTTAGATTCCCCAGAACTTATTTTAGGATCAGCTTGCCCATTTCTGCAAAAAGGGCAGTTGGAACTTTGTAGGAATTTCATTAAATCTGCAGATTAATTTGAGGACTATTGCCGTATTAACAACATTGTCTTCCAATCCTTGAACACAAGATGTCTTTCTAATTAATCTTTTTTAATTTCTTTCAAAATGTTTTACAGTTTTCAATGTCGAAAGTCGTGTATCTCTTGATGAAATTTATTCCCAAGTATTTTATTCTTTTTTATGATATTGCAAATCGAATTTTTTCTTAATTTCATTTTATGAGAGTTCTTTGCTAGTGTATTTCTATGATTTTTGTGTAGTGATGTTATATCCTGCCACTTTGCTAAGATCGTTTATTCATTCTAATAGTATTTTTTGTAGATTCTTTAGGGCTTCCTATATATAATATGTCATCTGCAAATGGAGATAATTTCACTTCTTCCTTCCCAATATGGATGCCTTTTATTTCTTTTTCTTGCCTAATTTCCCTGGTCAGAACCTTCATTAGTATGTTAAATAGAAATGGAGAGAGCAGATGTGCCTAGGAATTCCTGACTGCATGCTGGACATTTTGGATTTTATATTGTTGGGTGCTGGATTTTGTCACATTCTTTTATTGTTGGACTTTGTCCTGGGATCAGAGTTAACTTACTTCAAATCATTTTGATACCTTTAAACATATTCATAAGCTTGGCAGGGCAGCCTTTGGACTAGGGCTAATTTGGCCTCACTTCTAAGTCAATACCTTTCTGAGATTTTCCCTGATGCCCTGTGTAACAGGAGGCCTTTCCACTCTGGAAGTTGGTATTATAGACCATCCGAGGCTTTGTGTGAACTCTGGTGGGGCTTTACATGTTCCTTTCCTAGCCTCAGGCAGTGTCCTCACATGCGTGCACAGATTAATGCTCAGATAAAGACTGGAGTCAAAGTCTGTTCGATCTTATTCCAGCCTCAAGAATGGACAGATCCCAGCTATGTTTATTGATTATCCCCATTTTCTATAGGAATTTAGACTGAAGTTAAACTGATGTGGGCATCTTCCTCTGTCTGTCACCTCCAGATTAATATTGGCAATCCGGGATGCTTGTAAAGTCCTCCCTGAGAGGGAAGCCTTGGCTAGGGGTTGTGGAGGCTGTGGGAGAACTGGATGGGGCTTGTTTAGGCTTCAGACAATCAGGCATCTCTACCAGGTTTGGAGAGCAAGGTAACCTTCCTTATTACCCCATATATGGCAATACTTCTGCAACCTACGTGCTGAGAGCAAAGGGACAGAAAGTACCAGAGCAAGCCAGGACACACAGGAGGTTGCAAATTCCTGGAATTCTCAGCTCAAGTCCAGACTATGTTGCTACAACTGGGCTTCAGTTTCCTTAACACTAAAATGCACAGAGCTGGGCTTGAGGTTCTGGAGGACCCGCTCAGCTCTAGCAGCTGGGAGCTGTGGGTTTCCCTGGCCTCAGGCCTCCATTCTTGATCTGAAACTCTAGGTTCAGAGCAGTGTTGTTTGTCTCTAACTCGGTCAGTGCACAGCTTAGCCCCAAGGAATCCTAGAGGCTGGACAAGAATGTCAATAAACAGTGTGGTGTTTCTGCTTTCTCCTAGTTGTCAAAGGCTGGACATGATAGAAATGTCTGGTATTTCTGAGAGAACAAACTGTTTCAGATAAATGATTGACTCTCTTTTAGGGGTCGTGAGGGGAAGAGGATGGAGTGGCTCACTGGCACTATTTCAGACTACAATGCCAGCAGTATGGTGGCAGCCCTGGCTTCTCCACCAACAGATTACCTGTGTAACATAGGGAGAGGCACTTGACCTCTCTGAGCTGCTGGATCCTCATCTCTAGAACTGGGTAAGAAAACATCTATGATCTGCTTTGCCTATGCCAGCTACAAGAAGAGACTTTCAAACTTTACATGAAATCTTACGTAAAATTCCTAGGCACACGGACATTTTTTTTTTTATGTGTACACAGAGGCGAATACATTGATAAAGTGATTGGGCCGGAAGGAGAACTCCTGGGTGGTTCCTTCAGGCACAGCCATCACAAACAGCTCTGCTGCTCTTGGGGGGAGCAGGGGAGAGTGGGGAGAAGGGAGGGGCAAGGGAAGGGAGTGTGAGGGTCCCTGGAGGTCAGGAGGGAAGCACCGTGTGGGTGGGTGAGGGCTAAGGGGTCAGGGGGTCAGAATGGACCCCAAGGAACGGGAAAGAGCACTCCCGAAAAAATTCGACGACCGTCACTCCCATGAGATGTGGTCTCTTTTCAGGACCCCCCAGCTCTTCAGTATATTTTGTTGTGTGGATGACTGATTGGGCATGTGTGTTTGCTTATTTACTTTTGTGGAACAGGGGAAAAGGGCTACTCCGGGTGTTCCCATTGACTAACTGGAATGGAGACAGAGCCCTGGAGGCAGGAGCCCATAGCAGAGAAGCCACCCTTTGCATGGGGAAAGCTCTGGGAATCCCCCAGAACTGGGAAGAGCTCCTGGCTTCCTGGGATGGGTGACAAGAGGATCCGGGACAGGGGGAAGCTGAGCCATCTCCACTGGGTGTCATGGGCGAGGCCGCCCCGCTGGCCTGTCAGCAATACAGAGTGCATGGACGTGGAGCTCACTGGGTGCGGTGGGCATGAAGGGGAGGAGGGAGCCACCCACCCAGCCTCCCAGCACACCCTGCAGCCCTCAGAGAGCTTCTGCAGAACCTGCAGCATCTGTGGAGCAGAGTTTGACCACCATGGCCGCAGGAGGCCTTTTTAACAGTAGCTTTGTGACCCATACTTACTGGGGGAGGGCATCTCTCTCCCCACCCGCCTGTGGACAGATGGGGTTCACGAGCTCCCTGGGACTCCGTCTGTCACGTCTTCCAGAAGCCCCATTTTGGAGCTGACAGCTGGCCTGGCTGCCTCTGTGGCGTGGCAGCCCTTCTGCTGCTGAGCCAAGTTCCTCTCAGCACCATCACTCCTTGGGTGAGTCTGTGTGTCTGCAGCGCTGGTTAATGAGACCCCAGATAACTCCTGTCCTCTGCACAGAGGGGCAGGCCTTTGCACAGACTCCAGAACTAGGGTGTTAGGCCCGGGAGGTCAGGGTCCCAGACAGAGAGTGCCAATGTGTGTGCAGGTGAGCATGCATGTGAGCATGAAGGTGTGTGTGCAGGGGTGTGTGAGCCTTACAAGTACCCTTCTTTAGGAGTTCCATTTACTCATCCTTTCCTCAGAATCCTTCAGGGAGAGAGAAAACATTCTGCCTCCCTTCGTGGTACTGGAACCCTCTCCACTCAGGGCTGCCTAGATCTGGTCCCCAGATGCCTAGCTAGGGGATGTCCAATCACTCATCCTTAGGCCTGCAAAAATCCTAGGCCTTCAGAGCCACAGGTGAAAGGCAGCCTGGTTCATGAGGGAGGCCACAGACTTTAGAAACACCCTGACCAGGTCCAATCGAGCTCTAAAACGTGCTTGCTGTGGGTCCTTGGGCAAGCCACTTAACTTCTCTTAGCTCCCCTTTCCTTCTCCGTAAAAACTGATAGGGTTGTTACGATGATGAAATTCACATACAACAAAATGCCTATGATTTGCCATATGAAATGCTGCATGTGCATCTGTCAAAGGCTGGGTTCCCAAGGACACAAACTGAGACGGCGTTCAGCACTCAGGCTGTTAAATAGTGGGTGCCCTTTGTATCAACAGCCATGGAAGGCAAGGGCAAAAAGCAGCAGTGGGCAGGGGGAGAGGCCCGCCTGTGAGGTGGGGGCAGGGGATCCCAAATGCACATCTCCTGACCCCCACAGAGCTCTGAGGCCAAAATGGCCTTTTATATCCTGTGCTGGAGGCCCATGGGTTCAATGCTCGCTAGGAGGACTCCCTGGCTTAGCCCACAGTAGTACTTACAGTCATTACAGTGAAAGGATGCGAAGCAGAATTCACAGGGAAAGGCATATGGGAGAAGCCCAGAGGGGTCCAGGACCAAGCTTCCAAGAGGCCCTTCCTGGTGGAGTCACCCAGAACGCACTTAATTCCTCCAGCAATAAATTGTAACCACGTGTGTGAAATGCTGCCACCCAGGGAGGCTCATTAGAGACTCAGCACCCAGGGATTTTTCTGGGAGATGGGGATGGGGGAGGGCTGGCACAGAGGCACCCTCTGCCTGCCTCGGACCCAAATTCTAGACTCCCAGGAGGGAAGCACGTGATCAGCATAAATCATATTGTTTGGACAGTTTCAGTCCAGTGAGCTGCTCTTACCATGGAATGGTGTGAACCTTCCCCAAAATCCAAGTTCCTGGATGTCAGCCATGGGCCAGCCTTGGGAGCAGGCCTTTCTAAGGAGAGCGGCTCTAATTCTTCTGCACATTTCACTACCTCAGTCACTGGATGAGGTCCTCCAGGGGTTGAGGTGAGATCTTGGGTGAAGCTGCCCTCTGCAGTGAAGGCAGCCCCTGAAGCCTGTGTGCCTCAGCCCTCCCAGCAAGAGCCTCATCTCGGGGAGCCTGCACCCAGGCCTGGCCACAGGCGGCCGATGACTCAGGCATCGCTCTTTGGCTGTGTCTGTGACTTGCCAAAGAACTCAGTTGTTGGAAATCTGGCCACCTCAGGATGAGGTCATATCAGCTTGTGTAAACCCTGGAGAACTAAGCCAGTTGGGTGCCCTTGACATTGTTCATTCATGAAACATTTACAGAATGTGCAAAGGTCAGACAGCAGGAGAGAGAATGAGGAGCTTGTGTTCAAGGGAGAAGGGAGATGATGCTAGGGGGGGCGGCTTGTCTGTAAACACAGATAATCAGAGTGGAACATAATAGACTGGTAGTAGAGACGTATTCACTGAACTGAATTGATCCCACAGCCTGCCTTCTCCATGCTGAGAGCTGGGGATTCAGACATAAACATGGCTTGCTTTCTGCCCTTGCACAACCTAGGGGTACACTGACCTGTACTCAGAACGATGTGATCAATACCCATCAGAGTGGGGAGGGCCTGGTTGACCTCTGTGCCTAGTAGGAATGCAGTGAGGAGGGAAGGCTTCCTAGAGGAGATGTTATGCAGGTTGGGCCCTGAAGGATGAGCTGGAGTTAACCTAGTGGACAAGGATGGAGGAAGATGCCCGGAACGGCCAGTAACACTGACTTAGGGTAACTCGAAGTCCATGGATTCTTTCAATGCCTAGAGTCTGATTCTTTTGAGTGGTTTCTTCTAGATCAAGAAAATTTCCTGGATTCATAGAATCTCAAGTTGGACAGAAACTTAAAATTTCCCAGAGCTGAGTGTGCATCTCTGCCAAGCTGTTGGGGAGTCTCTGCGTACGTCCCTCTGATACAGGGCGCTCACTACCGCGTGAGACTGTGAATTCACGTGAACGGCTCAGTGTGCTAGCAAGTCTTTCTTCTGTTGAGCAGGAGTGTATTTCCTTATTTATTTCACTCACTGATGCTGATTTTCTCCCTTGGATTGATTTAGGACAAATTTCCATCTTTACGGAATCATGAGGTTTGTAGGTTTTCCACTGTTATTCCCCAGGCAGTTAGTGCTTCCATGTAGCCTCAAGGAGAGAGGCAGTGGCTGGTGCACGCGATAGAGGGAGGCAGTGCACTGATGCCCAAAAGTGAGACTCCCAGCCAGACAGCCCCTTATCGTGTGGCTGTGGCAGGTAATCTAACCTCTCTGTGCCTCAGTTTCTTCATCTGCAAGTGGAGATAAGCACAGTAACCGGTATCTTTGGGTGGTGATGAGGAGTAGTTGGCTTAATGCTTGTGACGTGCTCAGAACAGAACTGGTGCACAGCTCGTACTCTGTGTGACCGGCAGCTGCTATTAAAAAGGGATGGTAATAGCTGCCAGGCCACAGGAATGGTGTCACAGAACTACTAAGTGAAACTAGGGGAAAATAGCCAGCGTGGCTTGATGAGGTATTAGGCATTTGCTGGTGAATGAAAGCCATCAGCCTCATTCACAGACTGTCTCCGCTATTCGCTCACTTTTGTAACCTCTCTGTCAGCCATTGAGCTGTCACCAAGCCCTCCCTTTGCATGGAGTCACCCTTTGCTATTTAAATAAAAATACTGCAGGTCTGCGTGGGTCATGGGCTGCATATTTGTGTCACAGCACAGCAGAGTGAACTTCAGTGGAATGTCACTCACGGCTGCTCTGAAGGTCCTGGGCCACTCCTTCCCGGGGAAATTCTCACCCACTGTCCTCTTCCCCAGGCCCCCAGGCTCCTCCTCTCCTGGGGCTCTCACACTTCTCCCTCCCATTGCTTTCTCTGCCCTTTCACCCGGCTCCCTTGGGCTGCCCCCACCCACCACATACCCACCAAGAGTCAGGATTCCTTGTCTTTTTTAGAAAAGCAGTTTTTAGCCCTTTACCCACAACTTGGGCTGGGACCTATTTCTGTAAATCAAAAACACAAGCGGGAACCAGCAAAGGCCCTGACATATCATTTCCCCTTCACTGTGATCGATTTTCCCACGTGGCTCTCTGCCCCCACCAGACTCTGTCAGTAAAGGGATCCAGGCCACAATGTAATCTTTCCCTGATGTAAATTATTCTACACCCCTGACCCCCTTTAAATGCAGATAGAGTTACTGTCTTTTATTTCTTAAAGCTATTTAATATCTTGCCGACTCTGCCTGGAATGTCTTCCTTCCTTCTCCCTGGCTCCTCAAATTCAGCCTGCCTGCCTTTAGGAATGAGTTCCGTGTCTGTTTCCTGCATGCAGCTTCCCTGATCACGTGGCTTGGCATCTTGTGGCAAGGTCCCATAAGACCCCGTACCCACTACCTGGAGTTAGATCATCTGAGGCCCAAACTTGTATGCTTTGCTGCCCTAATTAGAATGCCCTTTCCCAGAAGCCTTAGGAGACTCTTTAGGTTCCCTGGAAGGTGGCCTGGGGACTGAAGGATTGAGGAGTCACAGAGGCCTGAACTTAGTCCTCACTTCTCCATTCACTGGATGTGTGGTCTTCCACCAGTTACTTAACCTCTCTGAACTCAGTGCTCCCATCTGTCAAAACGCAAAAGAATTAAAGAACAGCTGTGAGAGTTAAAGGCAGTCGAATCTGTCAAATGGCCCACAGAGGGTCTGGCACATAGGAGGGACTTTATAAATTTTGCCTTCCTTCCTCTGGAAGAATCCATAGAGTAAGGGTGGGCAAACAGACAACTGGACCAAAAGCTGAAGGAAAAGTATACTTAATGAAAAAAATGGGGGGGCAGTGGCAGGGGGTGGTAGGAACAAGCTGGATCCAGAATGCCACCTGACAAAATCCCTGTCTGGGGCCCGTGCAGGAGCTGACACGTAGCAGAAATGGGAGCAGTGGGCTTCCCTTCCCTCTGCTGCTCAGACCAATCTGGAGGCAGCTCTTGGGCACCAGTCTCCTCCCCAGGGCAGCTGCCTGGACCAGACCACCGCCTGAGGCCCGCAGCCCAGAGGAAGGAGGGGCTGTGGCAGGGCAGACACCAGAGCTACGGATGCGGATGTGCACAGCCTGGCACATGGAACCGGCGGGCCTTCTGAAAGGTACCCTGAGTCCGGGAGGGTTTGGAGGGAGCCAGGAAGAGGCCAGCTCTGCCCCTCCGGGCCTCAGTTTCTTCATCTGTGCAAAGAGAGTTTGGGTCTATGATCGCGAGAGAGACCCTCCTGTCCAGCACACTCTGGAAAGCTCTGCGCTCTCATACACGGCTATTTCAGACCTTATTGATTCTGAATGTGTAATTTTTTTTTGACTTGGACTAGGCTGAAGCCTACTCTTGCATAAATCACACCAGAAAGGGCTTGATTCCTTCATGACTGGTGTCGGCGTGACGAAGGAAGAATCCTTTCCATCACGCCAGCTGCCTGTGCCTCAGTGCCTTTTGGATGCCACCTGCACTGACCCAACTCCCATTTCCTGCGGGCACTGCTCTCCCTTCACTGTCTCTGACCTCTCCCTTGGTGTCCGGGGAAACTTCTTGAGCTCCCGACTTGATAATTGGAAATTTGATGTGTTCATGCCTTTATTTAGTCCAGTATTATGATTCTTGCTTTTATAATCATGGTTTGAATGTCCAAGAACTGTCGCTTTTCACCACAACTTATTATTCTGTGTATGTGTGTGAGCATCTTGACTCTTTCTGAGAATATTGTTATTCTGAATGTGTCTTCCGTTTCCCCTGTCGGTGCTGTCCCCTGGGTGCTGATTTTTCCCGCGGGCTTAGGGCCTCTCTTCCACATCGTTTCTTCGGCTGCCCAGTGGCTTGGGCTGCCTGTTCACATTTGCGCCGGAGGGTCTCCATGTGTTTCTCATGGGCTCCTCACGTCTTGGATGGTGATTTTTCTCTGTGTTGCTTTCTCTGTCACCTCAGTCCCTTCTGCTTTCCATCTGCCAGCAATTCCTCAAAATTTCTGGTCTGCTAGCATCACTCATCCTACCTCCCTTCTTTTCTCCCTCTCTCCCTCCCTTCCTTCCAGTTTTCAGTCCTGGTTCACATAGGCCTGCGCCCTCCTCCCCTCCTCCCCCCAAATCTCCCTCCCCCTCTTCCGCCCCAGCTCCCCCACCCCTCCTTCTTCAGAAGGTATCATTTCAGTGATCACAGGGACTTTGGCTGGGGGAGGACGTGGCTGTGCTCAACCTGGTATCCCGTTGGCTGGGTCTTTCTGTGGTCCATGCTATGATCCACAAGTTGCATACCATTTCCCTCTTTTTGTGGATGAAGACGCTGAGGGATGAAATGACTTCCTTGGAGTTGCACAGTCAGTAGGGGATGGCTTGAAATCATGTCCTTTGACTCCAACTTCAGTCTGTTTTGCTATTCCTCTTTTCTGAAATCTCAGGGACCTTTTAATCTGCTTCCACTGTTCAGAAATCTTTGTTCACATCAGCAGTTGGTGTGCATTTGGGTGCAGAGGGCACCATGAAACTGTGTGTTTTTGGTGGGAGCTGGCCCAGGAAGACACTGCCGCCTTACTGTGGAAGCAGCGATGGCCAGGATTTTCACATACTTTACAAATCTGCATTTATTTAAAACTATTCCAGAATGTGGCTTATTCAACAGGTCAAAATGACTTTCTTCCCACAGTAAACTTGAACTAATGATGATTAGACTACATTGTCTGACTTATTAAATTGTTTATTGATTTTTTTTCAAGGCAGTCCTAATAAAGTAAATAAAGTAGTGTGGTCAAGTTCATTCAGGGTCTCTAGAAACCAACTCTCAGAAATGCTGGAACTTAGGAGCGGCTCTATCTATTCTAGAAGCGAGACTTTGAAACAAAAGAGGACAGTTCCAATATGTTCTTGGGGCTGGAAGAAAGTTACCAGGTCCCCAGAAGGCTGGGACTTGAACTTGAGGCAGGAGATAGTCAAAGTCTACGACTCTCTCAGTGAGTACTCAGTTCAGAATCGACATTAGCCGGTGAGTGTGTTTGTCTAAGGGTCCTTTGAGCCACCTTGAGGTCCTTGTTCTCGGTTCCCAAGGAAAGTGGACTGAAAAACTGAACGTGGTCCCTGGAAACATGCTGTGGTCACCAGAAGCAACGAGTTCAGGGAGGCTGGAAAGAGGTCTACCTGCCTGGGACAGTAGCAGCCAAGGAGCTGGGGGGAACTGGGGGCTGGACGAACAGAAAATTCTGGTGTCATGGGGGGCAACAGGCCCCTGGGCCTACAGAGAGTGAAGGGCTTGGGACTGGGGCCGCAGGCAGGTAAATAGGTGGGACTCACATCCGGAAAACTCTGTGGTTATCACTTAAGTCTAAAGCTGGTAGAGCCTAGGAAGCCGCAGACACATGAGAGGAGAGATGGGAAGAAACGGAGGTGGGTTTCCTTTGTCCCCGTTCTTCTCCCCTCTCTGCTCTGTGCCTCCCAAGAATAGGTCTGGGCAGCCATCCCCTCACTGCCTTTGGGAAATTGATGGTGCTTATCCTCTCTTGGACTGGCCGCCCACCGGGGTCACTGGCTCACAATGAGAGAGCTGTGAAGAGTCTGTCAGCATCCTGCCCTGGCTTCTCTGTGGACCAGTAGATGGAGTCTTCTTGGGGCTGGGCTAAATCAGGTGTCAGGTGCAGGTGGAGATTTAAAGGCAACAGGTGATGTTCTGAGCTGGGGTAGGGATTTTTAGAAAATCATCAAAATAAAACATGTATAAGGATTATTGAAGGCAAGGTGCTGTCAGGAAGATGTACACATCTGTGGGCACCACTTTCTGGAATCCAATTCCCTGGGGTGTCTCCCCAGGAGGCCAAGGGCCACTTCCTTCCCTGATGGTAGCAGGAGCTTGGTCGTCCCCAGCAGTCTGGAGGGCCCCTGGGGCAAGCACTGCATTTCTCCCTTCCCTCTGTCTGGCAGTTGGCTTGGCCTTTCCCGAGGACGCAGTCCATCTCTTCTCCACCCACCGGGAGCTTCAGCAGAGTATTCTTCTTCAATGACGTTGGGAGATTCCAAAGGGTAGGGAACACTCTTCCCTGGGAGTTTCCCCAAAGTAGGGGCAGTATCTGCCAACCAAAGCAGGAGCTTCTTGAGTCCAGGCACCATATTTCTAACTTTGTTTCCTGCCACCGTGCACAGGACTGAGCCCTGCACACAGTGGGTACTCGGAGCTTACTGTGTTTGCCTCCGGCCCACTGCCCCAGGTAGCCCCTGCCTTCCATCTCACAGGTTCCTCACCGTGCAAATGTTCTCAGGGCAAAGGGCAGTGCTCACAGCTTGTCAAGGGCAAGCTTGTGTGTGAGCACATGGTTTTAGCTCAATCTTCTTCAAGTCCTGGGAGCTCACCTTAGCCCTGGAATGACTGAGCCGCCATTACAGAATTCATTAGTCTGCTGACAACCTGTCAAGGGCTCCCACCTGTGATGCTCTGACTGCTGCCATGACAAGTTCTGGGGTGCTGTGTGTGTGAGGGTGTGTGCGCAAATGTGGTCTTCAAGGTGATGATGCAGGCAGTGGAAAGAAGGCCAGGGTCATGTCTGAGTGTCAGGTGGCAGGATGTCAGTCCTATAAGTTGTGTGACCTTGGACAAGTCACTTGGCCATCTGGGCCCTAGGGAGTTTACAGCTTGGAAACAAAATAAGCCATCCTACCACTCAACTGACCTTTCTTTTACACAGACTCCTCTGCTCTCACCTTCATTATAATCAGAAAAATAAGAACAAAAATCACTGCCTTTCTCACAATTTTTTGAAGGGGGATCACATTTCTACTCCAGATCTCGGTTCTTAATTTCCCTCAATAGAAGTGAAGGGAAATATGCTTGAGTTGAGAGAGCTCATATGAGTCTCTGACCCCAGTCAGCACAGTGGTGTCGGTGCTCATGCCTGGATACAGTGGCCCATTTCATTGGGCCAGTCAGACAAGGTCAAGGGAGTCAAGTCCAGCAGCTCCAAGACCCAGGGTTCACCGCATATTGAATCTCAAAGACTTAGAAACCAAGTCCCAAGTGCAAGCACAATATTTCCATCTGTTTCATCTTCTTACTAACTGAACATCCCACATCAGACACATCTCTCCCAAGTGAAGGTCATCTTCAGTGTCAAACAGCTCACCATGTGCAATCACTGCCTCACAGGGAAGGCCAATGGTTGGGAGAGCGGGAGGACCTGAGTTCAAATCCCAGCTCTACTTTCTATGTTTGACCTTTTGCTAATTATTCCCATTTTCTGAGTCTCAGTATCTTCAACTTTTCAATCACAAGGTGGCCAGTGGGGACTGAATGGAAACTCTTCTAAGCTGGAGAGTGACCACATTAGAGACTAGAAGTAGTTGTGCTTCCTGGGGCCGAGTTTGGGAGTGACTGCAGAAAGGCCAGGACAAGGGCACTGAGCCTTCTCCTGGGCCTCGATCACAGGATGCTTCAAGCTGGTATTAAATGTTCTGTTTTGAACCCAACGGACAGAACTGTTTCCCCACAGAGTCAAAGAAAACTGCTCCCCTCTAAATTTGGAGACGGAGACAGGGTTCCCTACCTGTAAATTATTGTTTCTGTAAATGGAGTGCGCGCACGCGTGCGCGCGTGTGTGTGTGTTCTTGTCTGAGCTGTTGTTCTCAGGAGACGGGAAGTGAAACCTGTACCAAAGCAGGAGGGACATGCAAACCTAGCTTTGGCCCTTCATTCTGGCGTTGGTGAACTGGGTGACCCTGGTTGGCACGGCTCAGCCTTGATTGGGTTGCTTGCCTCCTGGGAGAGATGTTAGGTGGGCACAGTTTGGGACAATGTACCCTGTACTCTTTTTTTTTTACATTTTTAAAAAAAATTTTGGTGCCATTAATCTACAATTGCATGAGGAACATTATGGTTACTAGACTGCCCCCATCACCAAGTCCCCCACACACACCCCATTACAGTCACTGTCCATCAGCATAGTAAGATGCTGTACAATCACTACTTATCTTCTCTGTGTTGCACAGCCCTCCCCGTGCCCCCAGCTCATTATACATGCTAATCGTAATGCCCTCTTTCTTTTTCCCTGCCCTTATCCCTCCCTTCCCACCCATCCTCCCCAGTCCCTTTCCCTTTGGTAACTGTTAGTCCATTCTTGGGTTCTGTGATTCTGCTGCTGTTTTGCTCCTTCAGTTTTTCCTTCGTTCTTATACTCCACAGGTGAGTGAAATCATTTGATACTTGTCTTTCTCCGCCTGGCTTATTTCACTGAGCGTAATACCCTCTAGCTCCATCCATGTTGTTGCAAATGGTAGGATTTGTTTTCTTCTTACTATACCCTGCACTCTTATGAGTGTCTTATCTGGGATATACCCCTGTGGTGTGCACATTTCACTCTGAAACAAATATAGACTGGCATTGTCAGCTGTCTTGGGATGAATTTAATCCTGGGATAGGAGTCTGAGGCAGCCGGGAGGCCATACCAGGAACACCCCAGTGATGGCCTTGGCTTGGGGTTGGGTTTATACCATGGAGCTTAAGGAGTAGCCATGTCTAGTAATGGTCACATATTTTCCACTGGGTTATAATTCCTTCTCTTACCTCAAAGTAAATTGGCAGTGGAGGAGTTGAGAGGCCCAATGCCCCCTTGGTGATGCTAAATAGGAGATTTGGATGCATGGAGCACACTTTGATAAGCCCTGGGTTAAGGCAACAGCCCCAGCTCATTAGCAGGCTTCCTGGACTCTCCAGAACTTAGGCCTTACCGTCTTTTCTTTTACCACAGAAACACCTCCTCCCTACCCCTCTGTCTCTCCACTGCTAACCCATGCTGTGCACAAAGCAGGTGCTCAGAAAATGTGTGTTACTTGAATAAAACTGAGCAGCTATCTTGGCCCAAACTCTGGAGGTCCCCTTGGCTTATGCTCTCCCTCCACACCCACCTACTTACCAGCACTCGGTCTCTCAACCCTTCCACTTTCAGGAGCTTTTACCTCTGTCTTCCTTTGTATTCCTACTGTTGGTTTCAGGTGAAGAGTGCTGCTTGGACGGTTGCAGTAGCCTCCAAGCAGTTGGAACTATGCTCAGTCTCTCTCATCTCCCACTGGCTCTGCAGATTGTTGCCAGGAGATTATCTGCAGGTTGCTGCTTTGATCAAGTCCCTCTCTGGCTCCACATCTTTATTGGCTCCAGTAGAGGTAAAATCCGGACTTCCCTGTCTGGCCTTCCACAATCTGCCATCAGCCTACCTTCCCCATCCTGCCTGGTGCACCAGCCAAGTCAGACCCCCTTGCCATTCCCCTCCTTGCATCTGGAATTGCTGTCAGTGAGACGGCCCCTCTCCTTGGAGGAGCAGCTCCAGTGCCAGCCCCTCCCTGTCCTCTGCCCTGCTTCTCTCTGCTCAGAGGACTTCTCTGCTTCTGAACTGCCTGTCCCCCAGTGTCCTGGCCCTCCTGTACTGCTGCGTAGTGCTGTGTGCACACTGCCTGTCCTCCAGCTCATGAGCAGGGCCTGTGTCTTAGTCACCTTGGGCTCCCCACTGTCCAGAGCAGACTAAACGTCCCATGTCCTCGAGTTAGTTACAATGTTCAAGGGAGAAATACATAATGCTAATCCAGTGCCCTGCTTTCTTACAACGACACTCGAATCATTCTAAGCAGAAAGTGTATTTACCTTTCTAAGAACCTCCTACTGTTGTCAAAATTAGAATAAACACTTGGTGGACTAAGACCTGAGCTGTCATATTACATCTGACAGCATGAAGATTCAACATTAGGGCGCCTCACATGGGGCTTAGATGCTGGCAACATATCACTGCCTGGGAGAATGGTT